CACTGACTGAGAAATTGCAGGTGAGGTAGGAAAGCAGCTCAGCTCGGAGGAGGATGGGCGGGCTCGTGGGATCCTCCCCTGCGGCCGCAGCGCCGTGGACACAGGCTAGAAAACACACAGCCCTTTAGGAAGCAGCTTATACGTGAATGGAGGTCCAGCTCTGTTTTCTTGCAGAAAAACACTGTCATTCAAAATCATTTGAAAGAGGTTTATAAATACTATAAAAAAGAAGTAACTTGCACAGTAAACAACAATAACCCTAACTCATACTTGTGCAGTGTTTCACAAGTGCTTCCACAGAAAGGAACTTATCCCTCACGACAACGCTGTGACTTAGGTAAAGTAAGCAAAAGCCCTATTTTACACCTGAATAAACTGAGACTCAGAGAGGTTGAACGGAGGATCAGCCAGGGCAAAGAGCTGCTGTGCCCTGGGAAGGGGGGCGGCAAAGGGTCTGCATCCCAGTGACCATACCAACGACCGCCGTTCTTTGAGCACTCATGGTTCCGGTATTCTGTTAAGCATTTGCAGGGATGTATTATAAATGCTATTACTTCTTACAGCCCATGGACAAGCATCTACTAACAAAAGAGGGAAAAAAACAGACTTGCAAGAAAACTTAATTCAGCAGGACAGCATAGGGCGGACGAGGACGATGACGTCTACCATTTGCTGAACAGCTGCTATTTGCCGGACACTGCTAAGCACGTAGTCCGTATTTTATCTCATTCTCACAACCACCCACAACGGCAGATGTTATTTGTCTCACTTACACATGAAAAATATGAGGCACAGAGAGATTAAGTGACTTGCCTAAAATCACACAGCCGATAAATGATGGAACATTCTAGCATGTGTCATGTGATACCAAATATCTGGTTACACTGATTTTTCACTTTAGGAAATTCTTTAACTGTCATGAAAACTCACCTATCATAGACCTAACTACATAACGGGTATTTTAAACAATTTATTTGTGTTTCCCGATACTCTTTTTAAGCTTTCAATGTATCTTTCTTCTACCCGTGGATTAAAACTCAGGCAGCCCTCATATTTTTTCTGGCCGCCCTTAGGTAAAGTCTTATAATCATGTTAAGTCACAAATGCAGACTGAGTACAATTATTATAAATGTCCAATAACAGATAGTAAATAAAACACCAAAACGGTTTTAACGTGGAATCTCCCCACCTCTCCCTACCAGGCCTGCGGGCTGGGTGCGTGCATGTCAGGAGTGCGTGCAGCCGCATTCCTCTCCTGCTCCCCCTCCCCTGGTTTATTAACAAGTCTCTGACTCTGCTTCCACCAGAGTTGAAGCTGGGATGCGGAGGGAGACAGAGAGATGAGGGGGCTCTTGTGTGACGAGTGCTGTGAGGCGGCCCGTGAGAAGCTGGGGCTGGAACGCGTGGGACCTGCACTTCCTTCCCGTGGGACAGTCGTATTGCCTGTTTGGAATCTCCAACCCCTGTTCATGCTTTCTCAGCTTTAGTTCCCTTGATCTTCGTGCATGGATTTTCTTCTGGCAGCTCCTAGAACCCTGCAGCACTCCCACTCCCTTCTTCTGGGGACCCGCCCCCCCCCAACCCCCCCACACCCCACCCCCGGCCCAGGGGCACTGGGGAGCAGAATCTGGTACAAGTTCAGTGCTGGCCGAGGCACGTTGCCTGTGAAGCCAGCTTTAACATTCACCCCTCGTCTCATTTCCCTTTGGCAGTGTGACTTTTCCACATCTCCTATGAAGAAATGGGGTCCATCTTCCTTCCTTTTGAAACTGGGATGGTCCCCAAAAAAATGCCACCAAAGTGATGCTATGTGGCTGCCAGGCTTGGACGGAAAGAGATCTTGGGGCTTCCATTGTAAGCCTTTTGGAGACTGAGTCATGAGGTAAGTTAGTCCAATTTTGCTGCTGGATAGAGAGGCTCAGCCAGACCAAGGTGTTCCCCCCTTGCCAGCTGAGGCACCAGATATGGGGGTAAAGGCATTTTAGATCCTCCAGCAACACAGAGCAGAGACACTCCAGCCAACATAACAGAGAGGAGCCATCCTGAGTCCTGCCCAAATCGCAGAATTATAAGCAAATAAATTATTGCTCTAATTTTAAGTTTCTCTATTTTGGGGTAAATTTCTTTTTAGCAATAATAAGCAATGGATGAAAAGCCTATCTGGTTTACAGGAAGCACCCTTGTATTCCTTGTCCCAGCACACTCTCGGGGAGCAGACAGTCTCCGTTCCGCTGCTAGAGCTGTCGGTTAACCCATCTTGCAGATTTCCCAAGCAGAGTCGACAGCAACCCAACACCGTTAAACATAGACTGCACGTACGGCCCCAGAAACCCCACTCCCAGCCCAAGAGAAATGAAGATACATTCACACGAAGATCTGTATGCAAATGCTTAAAAGAGCTTTACTCATAATTGCCAAAAACTTGGAACAACCCCAAAATTCATCAATTGGGGAATTGAACAAATTCAGCCATAAAACTACCAATACATGCAACAACGTGAATGAATCTCAAAGACAATAAGCCAGGGGGCGGCTGGCAGCGCAACGGTCTAGTTCATGTTCCGCTTCAGCAGTAGGGGGTTCACTGGTTTGGATCTCAGGTGCGGACATGGCACCGCTTGTCAAGCCATGCTGTGGCAGCCGTCCCACGTATAAAGTAGAGGAAGATGGGCACAGATGTTAGCTCAGGGCCAGTCTTGCCCCCCCCCCCCGCAAAAAAGCAAAAGGTTAATTGAAAGAAGGCAGACACAAAAAACTACATACTATATAATTCTATTTATATGACATTCTCAAACAGACAAAGCTGTAGGGACAAAATTCAAATCAGTGTTTGTTAATGGCTGGGAGTATGGGGAGGGAATTGACCACAGAGGGGCACCCGAGAACTTCTGGGGGTAATGATGTGGTCTTATTTATATGACTATATCCACTTGTCAAAGCTCATAGGATAGTACACCTGAAAAAGGTGAGTTTTACTGTCTATATATCTCAATAAGCCTGAATTAATAAATAAAATAAATCCGTGCATGCCCTTCCGCCATGGGGAACGCACGTCGAGCTGTCCAAATGGTTGGTCCCATTGAAGCTGCCTTCACTGGACTTGAGCGCCAGGCTCCGACCCCAATCCCTTTGATGGGAAAGGTACTAATCACGGCACAGTGTGACTCTCTCTAAATTAATCACCCTCAAAAGTCTCTTCAACCTCCCCCAAATCCAAACTTTTCATACTCTGAACATGGGTGGGTCATCTCACATATTCTTGGCTAAATCTTTTGAAAATTTGCATCTGGATTACCAGATCCTTTGCTTTGTGGCCTCTGTTGTGTCTCGTGTCTCAGTTGAAACTTCTGATCTAATACTCTTTCACACGTATTTAGATACAATATTGCAAAGTAACACTACATAGAGAAACAATTATTTTCATGTCGATTGCTAGGAAATACTTATTTACCCACATGTTTACCATTTGAAAAACTCTTCACTCTTTCTAAAGATCTGAATTTTCATCTGTTATCATTTTCCATCTGCCCGAAGAACCTGCTTTTGCATTTCTTGCAGCACAGTTCTGCTGGCAAAGAATTCTCTTGATTTTCTTTCATTTGAAAATGTGCTTATTTTGCCTTCATTATAGAAGAATTTTTTTTCTGAGTTTTCCGTTTTTTCTTTTAGCACTTTAAAGATACTGCTGCTCTGTTTTCTAACCTCACTGTTAGATGGGGAGTCAGCAGCCATTTGAATTGTTTCCCTGCACACAATGTGTCACTTTCCTCAGCCCTCTTTCACAATGTTCCTTTCACCTTTGACTTTAGCAGCCTCGCTATGACCGTGACCAGGTGTGACTTTTCTCTGGGCTCACCCTGCTTGGGGCTTTCTCAGATTCCTGAAGCTGTAAATTTCTTTCTTTCACCAAAGTGAGAAAATTTCAGCCATTATTTATTTAAATATCTTGTTCTGCTGCATTTCCTCTCTTCTCTCCTTCTGGGATTCCAATTATGCCACGTCAGACCTTTTGATATTTTTCTGTAGGCACTCAAGGCTGTTAATTTTTTTCAGTCTTTTCTCTCTGTTCTTCAAGTTGTGTGATTTCTGTTGACCTATTTTTGAGTGCATTAATTCTTTCTTTTATCATATTCATTATGTGCTAATCCCATTCAGTGGGATATTCTATTTTTCAGTTCTAGAATTTTTAGTTTTTATAGTTTCTGTTTCCCTGCTGAGATTTCTTATCTTTTTATTTATTATCAGCACATTTTTCTTTATATAGTTATAATAGCTGCTTTAAAATCCATGTCTGCCACTCCCAATAACAGTGTTTTCTTAGAGGTCAGGCTCTGATAATTGTCTTTTCTCTTTAAAATTGTTCATGTTTCCCGTTTCTTCATCAAGTAATTATGGATTGTATTTTGGACGCTGTGAATGATGTGTTGTAGCGACTCTGGATTCTGCTATATTTCTCTGAAAAGTGTTGATTGTTTTGTTTTAATAGACACAGCTTGGCTGGACTCAAACTACAGACTTTCTCCTGCCACAGGCAGCAGCTTAAACCTCAGTGCTGTTCTTTTCGTTTTAGTTGACGTGCTTGAGTCGGCCCCACACGGGGGTCAGCCAGAAATTTGGGGAGAGTTTATACATAGAATTTGGGGCTCCTCCTTTCTGGAACTCTTCCTCCTTGGATTTCCTCCCACAATTTCTAGTGACTGCAGCTGCCCTAAACTCTATCCTCTGGTCCTTCCGTCAGTAAGACTGCAAGTTCTCTGTTGGATTGTTAGCCTCCCCACGTGGTGCAGACCGGGGTCTGCCCTTCGTCTAAAAGCTATAAAAATGAGGGGCTGGCCTGGAGGCGCAGCAGTTAAGTGCGCATGTTCCACTTCGGCAGCCCAGGGTTCGCCAGTTCAGATCCCGGGTGCAGACATGGCACCGCTTGGCAAGCAATGCTGTGGCAGGTGTCCCACATATAAAGCAGAGGAAGATGGGCACAGATCTTAGCTCAGGGCCAGTCTTCCTCAGCAAAAGGAGGAGGATTGGCAGCAGTTAGCACAGGGCTAATCTTCCTCAAAAAAAAAAAAAAAAAAAGCTATAAAAATGAGAAACTCACCCAGTGCTGTTCCCCTCATCCACTGGTTAACTCTGCTCCAGTATCTGCCTGCTTTGGGTCATTATCCAGTTCCTTCATATAGTTGATTTTAATATTTGGGCAAGAGTTTAGAGTTGTTATCTGTAGATCTTCTCAGCCATACCAGAGCCGGAAAGTGTTGATACGATGTGCTAAATATCAATTCAAATGTTAGAGCCCCCACCCCCAGTCCATGATATCCACATGCATAACCTCCTCACCAAAGAAATGCGTGAAGGAAGCATTCCTCTCCTCTCTTTATAAGACCAGCGCTCTAACTCCTGAGCCTTGGAGCCAATTGCTCCTCATTTTATAAATAAAGAGATGAGGCTCAAAGAAGTTAAAGAGACGTGCTTTACCAATCAGGGTCCAGGAAGGAAAGAGAATTTAACTCAGTGACTCCAATGAAGATGATAATATACTACCTACAGGGATACGGGCACAGTTAGGATAACCAAAAGGGATGCTGAGGCACCCAGAGAAGAGCAGCAAAGGGAAGTTGTTGCTACTCCCAAGCCTGGAGGAGCAATGGGAGGAAAACGTGTGACCAGAGCCCCAGGAGAGCTGAAACCATGCAGGAGGAGCTGTCAGGCATGAGCTGTAGGCACAGGAATATGCTACCACCAGAGATGCTTTGCTGAGGCACAGAAGAGGCAAGGAAGAGAACCCGCCTCTCTTTCCTCCTGGAGTTTGCCCTCCTCTCAGGCCCTCCCACAGGCTGACTCAACAAGAAGCCGACTGGTAGGAGAGCACAGGAAATAGAGATCACAGGGGTCAGCCTCCAGGAGCCTCCAGAGTGGCGTAGGAAAGGGTGGATGGGCTTGGCAAACTATGAATAACCAGCACTTGCCTAGGGTACGGTTGTCAGATTTAGCAAATAAAAATACAGATGCTCTGCTAAATTTTAATTTCAGATTTTTTAAAAAAGTAATTTTTTAGTGTAAGCATGTCCCACGCAATGGGGTATACTTATAGTGAAAAATTATTCATTGTTTATTTAAAATTCACATTTAACTGGGTGTCCTGTACTTGATGTCCTGTACTTAGTCTAGACCAGTAAGTAAGGGAAACTTATTTTGAATCTAAGCCTAAGATCCACCTCCAGGCGTCTTCTCTCTGCTGTCCCACAGCTTTTCCATATTTTCCATGCTTACCCTGTAGAAGCGTATCTCCCTGCCCAGACCGGAAGCTCCTTGGGGAGAAAGACCATGTCTCATTCATCTATATCCCTCATTACTTTTCATCTCTTCCAACCTCAGTCCCAGAATTTTGCAACGTCTTGTACGTAGCAGGTGCTTAACACATTGTTGTTGAGCATGTTGACCCCTTTATGAGTATCTCATTAGATCTGATGTTTCACTATATGCTTCTTTAAGATACATTTCTGCTAAAGTCACATATTGACTTGATGAAAGTCCAGTGTCAGGTAGATTGTCATAAGTATTCAAACTCCACTCTCTGCCTTTCTTTTTCTTTCCATCCTTTCCTTTCAGGATTCCATGGTGAGAACATAACAAAACTATCATCCAGGCATCTCGCCACTCAGGTTTCCTGAGGTTTCTCTGAACCAAGTGACTGGGCATTGGGTCAACACAGCCTCAACTGAGAAACAAAAAACAAGACAAAAAACCTTTTAAAATGTATTTTGATCTTCACCAAAGCTTTAGGGAGAAAAAATCCTGCTCTCCTAAAAAGACTGAAAAGACCTATAAACCCCAGTGAGATGAGACCACATTCCTGAGAATAAAAGCTTACTTTCTCACTGATTTTTTTAGAATTCTGTTGTTTATTCTCTAATTCTAGACCAAGTTATCAATAATCAGTCCTTTTAGGACCATCTGTAGGATTCCAGTATTTATTATTAGTGAGCGTTTGCTCATTATATATATGTACAGACACAAATTCAATGCACAATAATTGTTGAGTAAGTAGATGGTTGTCAATTATTTTACCTCTTTACAAAAATAAAAAATTCTTTCTAATGGGATGAGTTTTGCAATAACGTTGAAAATCAACAAACTTCAATCATGAAAAATATGCAAAAAACCCTGTTGCCCGCAGGGCTCCTGGAGTTACCTACTTAGGCATTTGATTTCTTCCTGCATTAAGTGAAAATACTCTTTTAAATGGAACTAAAATGAACACTGTGTACAACTCACACTAGTCCACTGGTCCCAGGAAAGTGATTTTGTGGTCTATGTTCTTTCAAATGAGCAGGCTTGCCTGAACAATACGTGATAGCTGAAACTTCTCAGGCCGTAACACACTTCTAAGCTGTTCTCTCGGTGAAGGAACCCCTGAGGTTAGGTCTGTTGCTCCAAGGTTTCCATGTGACCATGTCCAGTCGTCAAGGACTGACACTCTGCGTGTAAACCATGCCCTGAGTGCATACAGTGGCCACTCAATCTGCTCTTCCAGGAACCCTGTGAGGGACGTGTTGTCTGATCGTTACCCGTCCATAGATGGGGATAGGGCAGCACAGAGAGGTTACACAACCTGCCTAGAATCACACAGGCAGTAAGTGTGAGAGGTGAGAATCAAATGCAAGCCTATCAGGTTAGGAAGCAAGTGCTCTTAATCTCCACTCTGCTTTCCCGCAGTCTCTGAGCTTACATCCCAGCAGGACAGACTTCTTACTGGCACATATGAGCTCTACTAGACTGACATCTATGTGCATTATAAACATGCACAGATTGACATTTTGAGAGGATAAGGAGACATAAACTGAAATAGAAGTACTGACAGTTTTGTCACACGCCCTGGGTGCAGAACGTCCGCTGTTGAGAACCTTGTTCTGCTTTAGATTCCATGGGTGTCGTCTGAGTCTTATAGTTGAAAATACCATTCACAGCTTTTGCCAAACCTGGATATACTGTGTTTGAACTCACAGTTTTCCTAGGCAAGGCTGTTCCGACCTGACTCAGCAGGAACAGGGCGACGTGGTGTAGAGACCAGCGGCCGGGAGAGATGGCTACAGAGAGAGCAGACGACAAGGCAGAGATGGAACAACACCGTAGGCGTTCAGACATTAACCAAAACCAGGCTAACTAACATTTTAAAACTCAACAGCTTAGAGTCCTGTTGTAATAAGAACAAACAGTAATTATGAATATAAATGTGGTTTACATAATATGTAAATAAATAATTATATATGTACATATAATTATATAAAAATAGAAAGAAACCACATTATGACGTCAAACAACCATTACTTAAAATTGACAATATGGTTAGAAACAGCACAGGTATGTAAATGTTACCCAAGAAATCAACCAACACCGAATCTGCAATTTACTGTAGATTAACCGCACTTTACCAGAAAGTGGGTTAAGTGAGAGCAACATATTTAAACACGGAAAATCTATCAAGATCGTTTCACAAACATCTGCCTGGATTTCTTGGCCATTTACGTGGGCTGCTTTTCATGACGACACAATAAAACCTGCATCTCTGATGAATGAAGACGCACAGAAGAGCATCACGTATATCTGAGTGCAACATGTTTAGTTCCTTCCTCTACCAACATCATGTTGCTGTTCTTTGATTCTCAACTATATTTTTCTCCTTTTTTTGGACAGCGTATGTTCTGGGAATGGGGCAGGGAGAGGTGGGGGAGGAAAGCGCATGTCTAAACATCTCAGGATCGTGAAATTCTCTTTAGCTTTTTCACTAAGACTTTTCCTTTTTAGCCATCATTAAACTCCAGATTCACATCTTCTGAGGTTCCTTTTCAATTTGAAACCAGAAAATTCAGACCAAAGAAGGGCTTGGCATCTCTCTGTAGGGGAGATAGCTCCTCATAAACATTATATTGTGTGTCTATAACAGCAGGTTTTATGAGAATTTCCCAAGAAATTCCTAAGAAATACCAGCTAAGCTTCCTAAGACATACTAATATAGTCATCTAGCCCATTAACTAAAACTCAGCTTCGGGGCCTCAACTCTAACCTTTTACAACAAAGAATAAGATATGGAATATCTTTTCTTCAAACCTGATGCTCCCTGTTCTTATTACTTGTCTTTCTTCTTCATCAATAATAAATTTTTTTAAAGCACCAGCTTTGAGGTCCTATGAGATGCAATTTACTATTTCTGCTCTAAATTTGCAAAGACTCTATTGCTATGAAATGCCTTTTCTTTGGCATTCTTTGAAGGAAAACAGTCTTCGGAGAAAGCAATTGTTGCCATTCCCTTATTCCTTTAACTAAACAACACGGACCATTCTCAGAACGTCACAATAAACATCGCTTCGATGATGAAACCAGGCATTGAAAACCATCTTGATTTCATTAAGCTTCAACTTAATGTACGCCTCACCAGGATGCCAGGCAGCCCTTCCTTTGGCAAGGCTGTCTGTGGAGTGGGCGTGCACCCTCGAGATGCTGCCTCTGCCCTCTCCAACGTTGTAACGGTGCGACAAGCTGGATTTGTAAGGCCTCAACTACCCCTGGGAGGAAAACTCTGTGCCAAAGAAACGAATGGCTTTAATTCTTCAAATAGGTGAGGTATAATCTTTTAAATTACCGTTAATTGCTATACACACAGAATATTTTGTGATTTCATTTTTTAACGTTTGTTCTGTTCCTTAATACTCCTTCACATTCATAGACACTAAACTTGCAACGCAAACCCCAAAGCATGTCATTCACCACAAGTGAATTACATACGGCATTTGTTACCCAGATTAGGTGTCATTTGTTACTCAGATTAGATGTACACTGCAAATACTTGTTTACTCGTTTTTATTTTTACTCTGACTCTTTCCACAAAGGACTTAGATGATTATGCAAAAATTTTAGTACCTATAATATAAAGACGAGACCAACAGCGGTAGACGCTAAGCCAAGCTCTGGTTTGCCCCTGGGTGGTTGTATTTTAAAGTTCTACCACATTGCTTCAAAAAAGCAACTTCAATGTACTAAAGAATGGAATGCTCACAGGAAACGTAATCAACCGTATATATTAGGTTAATAAATACACGATGAAGATGTGGCTTAGCACAATTTGGTTGCAGAAGATATTTTTTAGATTGACACATTGTTAGCTACTTAGAGGGTTAATTTTAATATTGGCTGGAAACATTAATTACCACATATTTAATTATGTGAAAGAGCCATTGTGGGCCCAAGTGGAGGCTCTGTGGGAAATTTAGCTCCCTCCACCCCACGCATAATTTTCATCAACCCTCAATCTCCCCAAGGAAACATTCAACCTCAGTAAAAACACAACCTGTACAAACCTCGCTTTAGCACCTTTTTTAGCCCAGCCCAAGCCCTTGCTATGCAGATTTCGAGCCATCACCAGCGATCTGCAAGATCACGGGTTTGACTATGACGGCCTCACTCCACATCTCTCTCTGCTGCTGAATCTCTGTTTCCAAGGAGGAACTAAAAGAAGGAAAGCACTTCAAAATTAAAAAAAAAGAGAATTCTGGTAACTTAGCTGGAGTGGAAGTGGAGAATGCTTGTTGAAACGCTTGATGTAGACCAATATGAAGTTTAAGCATGGAGAGACATGAACTTAACGTGGATCCGGTCATCACTGGAATAGAGGTAACAGTGTTGCTGGTGTTTTTAAATAGCAACCTGTGTTTATGGTTTGAGCTGACTCAGTTTCTGAAGCTGTTACGGGTCTAAACACTGCTGTTGGAATCCCCCCAGCTTCTATCCTTGGCCCACATTTCTTCAAATCCCACTTTCTCTTTCTAGGTGATTTTTAATCCTGTCATAATTTTAACTACGCCTATATACTGTTGACTACCAAATCTGGGTATTTAACAGAAGCTTCACCCTCACATCCTACTATCTCCTAAAATCTCCAGTAGCTGTGACATACATTTCCTCAACCTCAGCTTGTCCAAGCCTAAACTCATGGTATCTTCCCTAAACCTACTCTTTCTCGAATAATTATTTACTTGTTGGCACCCCAACCACCGGATCACTCGTGTTAGAAACCTTGAGTCTTTCCCATCCCTCACCCTCCCTACATTCAATCAATGATCAAGTGCTGTCAATCTCCTACACGTCTTCTTCCTACTCCTAAGTGCAGGCCCTCATCTTTGTTCCCCTAGAATCATGGTCCCCCAGCGGGTCTCGCTGCCACCAATTCTGTCCGGCTAGACGGTCTCCCGTACTCCGGATGGAGGCTCTGAAATGCTACGAGTGTGTTCTATAATGCAAACCTGTCCATATCATTGATCTACTTAAAACCCTGAATAGTTCCCCAAAGATTTAAGCTTGACTTCCCAAAGTGTGCCTGTCGGAGCTCTAGTCCCCAAAGACAATCTTTCCTAAGTGTTGTGTGGCAGAGACTGTACAGCACGTCCTTGTTTGGGAGTGTCACAATGCACATCAGCATATTTCAATTTCCAAGAGTCTCGATGTTAAAGAAGTCTTTTTGATTCAACCTTTTCCAAACTTTTCCCCACAGAATTCTCCTGCTAGGAATAAAATATTCCATCAAGTGCCTGTGAGGAAAGTTCCTTCACCTGTCACAGGAGGCCTCGCATGACCTGGACCCTGTCTGACTCTTTAGCCATCGTCACCCCACCCCACATCCCACTCTGTTCTCTGGGACCATGTAAGCGTTGTGTCTCAGCTCTTGGCCCTAGTTCCACCTGCTGCCTCTTCCTTCCAGCCTTCAAGACTTGCTATCCTGCAGAAAACTTTGCCTGACCTCCCATGTGCTCCCACAGCCCCCATGCCTCTTTCATCATATGGACTACATTGCTACTGAAGTCAGCTGCCTATTTATGAATCCATCTCCGACTAAACTGGGAGCCTCTGGAAGGCAGTGGGCACATTTCATTCATCTGTGTGTCCCTAGCATAAGCACAATTCTTGGCATTTAGTAAAACTGCAATGAAATAAGTAGCGCCTGGCCACTGTACTTGGTACCGAGAAATAAATCCCAAAAATATTAGTTGAATCAGAAACAGGTTTCTCTTAACCCCAAAGCACTTATTTGAAGTTGTTTGAAAATAAAATCAATTCCTTCAAGAATGACTTTTATCTGATGCATCCAGTGAATTCTGTATGAGCACCCCGTGCCTCAGACGTTGATGCCCTTTTCCTGCTCTGACGGCACGCACGATGTTGTTACTCTAGAAATCTGGAGAGTTGGGGCCTTTCATTGAATTTCTTTTTAAGCTCATCTTTCAGATACACAGAACTGAGTAGGTGAAGGAAGGAGGATGTGGTTTAGAACCCCTGGATTGGTTCATGAAAGGGCATAGCGAGGTAACTGATGCTGACACAGTGCCCTCTGTCAAAATAGCACTGGTCCAAGAAAACGGTCACAAGTCGCCCAGTGCTGGTTGGGAAAGAGCAGAGCTTTCCAGATGGCGATGTTACATCTGGTGTCTTTAAACAGCCAGCCTTCAGAATAGAGAAAGGGAAGCCTGGCATCCAGGTCGTTCCTCCTCTTCTCTGGGAGAGCATCTGAAGTTGTTGCTGGTGAGCTCCCAGGATCTCTGACGGGAGATTGTTGACCCTTCACTGTAGGGGCATCATCCCTTTAAAACTGGACACTGGATGGATGTTTACCAAAAGTCAAGCTAAAGTATCCTTTTTCTTATAATTCTGTTCCCTTTTACTAACCACACATCACTTATCATTTCTACTACACTTTTGCAAAATAATCAAACCCCTACTTACCTGTGGCTCAGTGAGAATTTGCGTGTTTGGGTCCTTTAGTATTTCTGGTTAAGTCACCTTTAATGTAACTATCTCTTGCCATCTTTAATGGATTCCTTCTGCCACGAGACAGAGGCACCTGCTGAAAAGGGCGCCTCTGTCGCTCTGTCCAGTTGTGCAGGGATGGCCTATCTCTGATCCAAGGGCATACGATTTCTGAAAGAATCTCATTACACAGCAACCACATGTACTGAATTCCATCATGACATTCCTCGTATGGTGGGGAACAGACTGCTATATGCTCTGCTTAAGGACGCTTTGAGAGAATTCTAACCCC